TCCCAGAATCCTCCTTGACTCCTAGTCCTGCCTAACTTGCTGTTTCATTGGTCAAACAGTGTTTTATTCAACAACCAATAAGATAAACATACACAGAAGGACACTCCCCATCACCTGTATGCTTAGGGAATATTGTGCTTTTCAAATATAATAGTGATATTTTGAACATTATCTATCCTAAAGTAAGCTGTTTGGCATGTGTGCTATCTTACATATCGAAAATTTATTTCTGAGAATATTTAAAACCTCATTTATTAATAACTTGCAAAAACAAAGTTTGTCATTTTACATTTTTTGGCAAGAGCTACTAACTAAGCCCCTGGTTTATTTAGCCTATACTGATTACTAATTTACACTTTTTACTACCAGCCCAAATTTTGAGATTACATATCTGTGTAAGATGATTAATGTTGCCTATATTATGTGCACTGTTGATTTACACTACATATGCCAAGGATATAAAAAGGCAGAAAAAAAGTATGTTTAATAAATGGTCATGATGAAAAAAGATTTCGGCATTATGAAAGTGAGAAAACCAGACTTAATGTAATATGTAAAAAGCCACTCAAAATAGATTGAAAACTTATTTAAGAAAATAAAATTGTAAAAATAAAATTTATAGAAAAAGGTAGGGCAAAAGTACTGATGCTATTAAAAGAATGATTTCCTGTCTGCAACTCCTAAATTTTACCCCTATAATATTCAATGTAGACCAAGAGAATTGAGCTAAACTAAATGATTTCACATTGGATAAAAGTAAAAAGAAAAGACAACTTCTCAACATTGGGGGAATATTTTTTACAGTGTGTATGGCAATAATATTTATATTTATGAGTCACAAAGAACTTAAAAACAAATAAAACAATTGCAAAATAGGCTAATAACCTGAAAAAAGCACATTGCAAATTTTGAATGAATCAATAGGTTAATAAAATGATCAAAATTAATAATCACCAATATATAAATCAAACCTGTAATCTTTGGATTCAGGCAGTTGAAGCACGATAGCTAGTATCAAAGACTGGAACAGGAACACACTGAATTTGTATATCTTCTTAGTGGGTATATGTCTCCTGGTGTAGGAAGGACAGCTTTGAAAATTACTACATATATATATATATATATATATATATATATATATAATCATAATGATACCAAATGTCATTATTAGCTCTGTGACATACATAGGAATGTAAGAGACTGTTGAATTCCTTGCAGTCCTTGCCAGGACATCTCCAGACAAAACAATAATGCTGGTGGGTTGGTAAAGGCCCAGTGATAAATGAGTATGAAGCAGTTTCAGGGAATATTGTTTGCTTTATTGCATATGAAAAACTGCTTATCTAGTGGAAGACTATCAGTTTTGATTGGTTAGCATTTTCCCTCATATTGGGTAGCAAGTTCTCTTACCACCAGATATCTATGTGAATGAAGCACATTAAAGCAGAAGAGAAGGGGTCAGACTCACTAGCAGACTGGCTGCCCACTACTCAAGCTACTTCAGAATTCAATGTTCTGACTTCCGTGTTATGCTGTACAAAGCTTCTTACTCAGTAGTGCAGTAAGTATGCCAAGTAGGCTGGATACCAGTTCATGCCTGCATATTCTCTTACAATTCTTATGTCTTTTAAAGAAATTATAATCATAGCCAAATTTTGGCATCAATACTGTATCTATTGCTGATAGACTAAATTAAGAAAATGTGGTGAATACCAACTATGAAATATCATCAACCTTAGTAAATAGCAGAAACACAATTTGTAATAACATGAACTGATTTGAAGAAGTTTAATTTTTGCTATTGTAGCATAATTGCATCATTCCCTTTTCCTCCTCTCCCTCCAAATTTTCCTAAATACTCCTTCATATTTAAAATTCTCAGCCTCAGCAATTAATGAAAATGAGGCCATGGATTTGAAAAACATAATTTTTAATGAACTAAATCTGTTTCATAAATCCCTATACCAAGTGAATTAATATGTCTATGTTTTAATCTGTCACTCACAAGCAGGTGTTCTGGTAACCAGGAACTGGGGGAAAGATCACCTTTAAAAAGCCACAAAATTCTAATTAGTTGGGGGAACTGAGCTTAAGAGATCTATTGTACAATATCATAGCTAAAACTAAAGACAGTAGCTTCTTCAAAATTGCAGAGCTTGGATTAAGTGTATCTTCCCAGCACAACAAACAAGCTCATAGGAAGTACTGGGCACATTAATTAGCTTGATTATATGGTCTTCATTAGGTTGTGCATCATAATACAATTTGTACTTGTCAACCACAATTACTTTAAAAAATAAGCTACATGAGAATTTGTTATTGAAAGGATGTTCTCTATAGTTTAAAGAAAACATCTGAAGTAAAAATTGTCCCTGTAAATTTATTTGATTAAAGAATGAATCATCTTGTCTTTCTTAGGATCAGGTCAAAGGCCTGAGCCTATGTATTTTAGCGAAACTTCCACTGGAGTATTTTACAGCTGCACATCTGTTCAAACAGAGGTATAAGCAAGAAGCTGAAGATGTCTACAGTCACTCCATATACTGTACATTTTGTCTCAAAATTTGCATCACTTTAAGAGAATAGTAATAGCTTACTGGTCTTAGCTATGCTAATTAGTTAACAATCCAGTGAAAGAAAAGGATTAAACATCAGCTAAAGCATCATCTTGTATCTCACCTAGTCACATATTGTATGAAACAATCAAAACACTTTAGACTTCCTTTTGAGAAAGCTTTCTCTTTATTTTTTGTGTTTTGTGATTATGATATAATTACAATATTCTCCCCTCCAGAACCTACAAAAATCCCTTGCTGCTATCCTTCCAATCATAGTCTCATCTGTCATTAATTGCAAATAAATGCTTATGTGTACAAATGTGCACATATTTAAACCACATCTGCTCAGTCCATGTAATGTTACTTTATGTATGTTTTCAGCAATGATGATGTGGCAGTGCACAACCAGTTGGTATGCTCTTCTCTGGAGAAGACCATTTCTCCCATTCAAGGTTTCCTCAGTTGTCTGTAGTTTTAAGTTTGTTTGTGTGTTTGCATTCTGTGTGTGTGTCTTGTATCTGCCACTAACTTTTACCTCTAACTCATGCTGTAAAGAGATCCTGACTCACAAAACTTCAGACTGTATTCCCAGACTGCTACACTCTCCTCAGTGTGGCTGGAGAATCCTGAAACTAAAAGTCCTCCTATCCTCAATGTGGCTGGAGAATGAAAGCCAGCTCTGGGACCTTGCTCCTGTCTTATATAGTTCCCTAATGTTGGGGTTAAAGACATGTGGTCCCAGGTGCTGAGATGAAAGGCGGGAGCTTTGTTACTCTTCACTCTTGTGTAAGCGATGATGGCCTTGAACTAACAAAGATCTACCTACCTCTTAATCTTGAGTCCTGAGATTAAAGCAGTGTACCCCCACTGCCTGAACACTATAGCTTGATGGTGAAAATGCTTTTTGAATCCTCAGGAAAGCTTTTAACAAATCAAGAATAATATGTCACCACAGTGTTTGTGGAATTGAGCCATCATAGACTTCTTCCCATCGACTTCATTGTTCTTATTCAGGAATTTAGGAAGTCTTTAAAGTTTGTGAAACTTTGTAAGTGTAGCTTCTGACACTACTAGGAGACACTGTCTCAGAACAAAACTTGATCCTCTAGCTCTTCCAGTATTTCTACCCCATCTTCTACAATTTTCCATTAGCCTTAAGTGTGGAACTGTTGTAGATGCACTTCTAACTAGAACACTCCATTCCTTTTAGACATGGCTATTTTTTTTTAGTTACTACTATAAGAATAAGCCCCAGATAATCTTGTGATACATTGGATAAAAGGTGCAGAAAGCTTCTACATGTGCTAGCTGAGGATATTCCAGAATTTTGTTACCTGAGCCAAACATCCAGTTCACTAGAAACCCTAGAAACAAGCTGTTCAAGATGCATCTACCAAGATTCCATTCAGCTGTATGAAAATCACTAAATGGCTGTTACTCTGAGTTGTGTTTGTGAGCTTGCTATTTAGCAAAAACTCATGATGTGAACCTAAGTGCAAACACAATTAAACATAATTAGAGATAGTTGAGATCCTGTATCCCAGCAAAGGACACATATATGGGACATGACCCAGTAGACACTGTGTTCTTTTGGAATAGAGGAGAGGTGACAAGAGAGATTTTGTTTTTGGGTTTTTTTTGGGGGGTTGTTTTTTCAAGACAGGGTTTCTCTGTATTGTTTTGGAGGTAGTCCTGGAACTTGCTCTGTAGTCCAGGCTGACCTCAAACTCACAGAGATCTGCCTGACTCTAACTCCGGAGTTCTGGGATTAAAGGTGTGCAACACCAACACTTGGCAAAGAGAGATTTTTATACAAAAATGGGCTTGAGAAGTATAGAGAGAGTAAAAGAAATATATCCAAAATGAATATATTTTATCATCAGTTTATATCCCTGAAGCAAAAAACTAGTTTATAAAGAAATCATTCTTTAACATTATAGCCAAATTGGTTTGCATTTTTCATACTGCTTAGACAAATATGACAAAATCATATTTAAATATCTTCATAAAATATTAATATGCCTAATGCTAAAAAGGCCATCCTTCAAGGGCAGAATATAATTACAAATTCTTATTCTATGTTTGTGTTTCAAAACTTTGTGTTATTAGTAATGAATTTAGAACAACGTAATATACAAGAACTTCATGTAAAAGACCAAAGGTGAAGATGAGGGAACTGTATTCAAAGTGATGGGCCCTGTAGTTAATGTAGAAAATCAGCACATCAATTTTGAGACAGTGACATGTACATATCAACAGGTGAGCATCATGAAGAACTAAATATCATGAGTGGAAATGTTTCTAATAAAAAAGACCAGGGGCATTATCAGTATACTGCAAGTCTTAGAGAACTACATATTCAAGAAAATTTAACTATCTACTCATAAATTTATGTATATATTTGACACATTTTTGATAATTTGTATTTTTTTCTGACTCGGCTTTATTAGGACTCATTACAGGAATACAGTATAGGTGTTATAGGAGCTGAAATGACTCAAAGACAGCTGAATTGCCAAAAGCTCTCGTTAGCGTGTGTGACAGTTCACAGACATTGGAAACCTGGAGAGTGCTACATAACTGGAAGGCAGCTCACAAGTTCAAAGACTTGTCACTTTCAGGCAGCTTGGTTGTTCTGAGACACTTGCAAGTAGCTTGGGTGATCTTTGCTTCTTTAAGAAGATTCACCTGATGTATGTGGCACTGATAGTCACAATACTTCTAGAAATTTCAGCATGTTGAAGTGTCTCTCAGCAGTGTTTACTGCTCAATACATGCTTGGGGATGAAGAAGCCTACTGAATCTGGTGACTTTGGTGGACTTCCTGTCTGAAAGAAATACATCTTAAAAAGCTTGCCTCAAAGATAGGCAGTTTTATTTCATAGAATATTGTCATCACCACTTGAAGAAGGAAATAATGATGACAAGTACCTTTGGTCAAAGCCAATTCATTCTTAAATTTCACCACTAGTTATATGTATACATATGTATATATATATATAATCTTTCATCAAACAAAAAATTTAAAGCTTTCTCATGTTATATAAAGAATAGATAAATGGTATAGTTAATATTAGGAAATAAAACTGCATCTTCAGCTTTAATATGAGTCAGTAGAGCATGAGTGTATGAGTGTCTTTTTTTAAAAAGACAAATTGTTTTGAAACATTGTCAGACATCAGTTAAGCATATATGATCATGAACATTTTGCATTGTTCAAGATAGTTTTCACAGCAGAAAGTACAGAGACAGAAAGACTGCTTGGAAAAGAGGCATATGTGCTGTTAATTTAGTTGTGATAGTAGAATTGTGGAATTAGTTGTAGAAAGGTGTCTTTGTGGCTATACTATGTGATTCAGCTTTTCACACTCACCATATAAAACTATGTGCACAACCATGAGCACAGATGTATATAGGCTTAAAGGGGATACAATGCTGAACAGAAAGATATTTTTCTAATGTATAATTTTGGAAACAATAAAAATATGTCCATAGGTGATAAAGACTGTGATTCTATCTTTTAAAACTTGAATCAGTTGTATGTATGGAGACTGTTTACAGCTTTACAATTTTAGTAGGAAGCAAAGTACACATAAACATCATAAGCTTTGGTTCTGCAGCTGGTAGGTCCATAATCTTATTTCCTCTGAGGAATAGTAGCATGATATATGGGTACTTCTTCAAAATTAGTTTATATAGGATGGCAAAGTTGATTGTTTTTACAAAATATAATAACAGCCAGGTTCCAAAGTGCTGACAATAAAAGATTTAGAAATATATGCAAACATTTTGTGTCAACATCAATGACTTTTCTTCTATATTTCTTCTTGTAATGATAGATTTATTACTCTTAGGATACAAAAGCAACACTAACGATATCTATTTAGGCTATTATTGTGGTATATTTTCATTGTACTGAAATGGCTGTCAGAGTATTAAAAATAATAAAATATGATTCTGGGCAGCTTTACTTTATGTGTTATACTACAAAAATATTGTATATATTTAAAGGAGAAGCTGATTTTTAAATATTCTTGTTTTTCTATTTACATATGTAATACATAAGTTAAAACGTTGTATTTTTTGGCCGGGCATTGGTGGCACATGCCTTTAATCCCAGCACTTCAGGAGGCAGATGCAGGTATATTTCTGTGAGTTTGAGGCAAGTCTGGTCTCCAGAGCAAGTGCCAGGATAGGTTCCAAAGCTACACAGAGAAACCCTATCTCGAAACACCAAAAAATATGCTGTATTTTTCATGCTCAGTGAATACTGTGGTACATACTTGTAGCTTTAATCACATTTTGAATATTTATTCTAGCTGTAATTCAATATTAGGGTCACCTAAAGCTTCCGTAGTAATATGGCATGATATAATACATGGGGTCTGGCAACTTACATTGGCTTTCATATTTAGAAGAGAGAATTTTGTTCTGCTTACTTTTTTGAGCTTCCTTAAGAACTGAATCAATAGGTAAATATAATTATTAATATTTGAAACAACATCTATTTGTGTCATGAGGGTGACTGTTTTGCTTCCATGATTTCTTTTTGATCAACTTCTGAAATATTGAGAATCAGGGTTAGAAAATATAGCAGTGTACTTTTAGGAGTCTGTGGTCTTGTACAGGTATCATATGAAATATCATGAAGATAAATAAATACCTATTGAAACTCAGGTCATTAATCTTGACTGAAAATGTATTACTCCTGGGCTCTATTCTCCTTCCATTCATATCTCTGTTTCAAAGGCTAGATTATAAATACTGCTATAAGAAAGTTTAGCAAAATAATCAGTTAGTGTGTCTGACATATGATATGACATTACTAAAGCTTTAAATGATCCTGATGTTGAAATTACATAATTAATGAAATGAAAGGGGAATAAATATAAAATACTTGGAAAAATAGTGTCTTCTCAAGAAGTATCCACATGGTAAAATGAAACTTAGCTAAATGTAACAAAGCAAGAGGCTATCAATAAGGAAAGAATTTCCCAAAATTTTACTTACCTTCACATGGGATTAAACCTGGTATTTTACTATGGAATGAGCATCAATCTATAAATGAAGATAAGAACATTTATGATGTTTAAAGGGACTAGCACAGTTCTATCTACATATTATTTTGAAAAAACAATGGCAGAAGATGATTAAAATAAATGTTACTGACAAGTTATATTCATTTGGCTGTACTAAGGACATATTACTTGTAAATATTACAGCTTTGGAGGGAACTGTATCCTGAATTGTCAGAAAGTCAGGCTATACCTGAAGCTGGGGCCCAGTGGGGGATGGTCTCACCTTAGGATGTAGCAATGCTGCTTCTCTTGGAGGGAGAGAGAGAGAGAGAAAGAGGGAGAGAGAGAGAGAGAGAGAGAGAGAGAGAGAGAGAGAGAGAGAGAGGAGACAGAGACAGAGACAGAGAGACAGAGATTACTGTGCCCTAGGGGAGTTTCCCAGCAATGGTATCTGTTTCTTCTGCTGCTCTGCCTCCATAAGGGAGCTTTCCAGGAGAGATTATGTTCCCCAACAACGAAAGAAGACTGTCACCCAAAAGTCTTTAAAGAAAATGATTTATTTGGGAAGGAATAATTAGGAGAGTGACTGCTTCTACCAAGATGTGTAACAATAGCAATTTTTCCAAGCCACCCCAGTCCTGCCACCACATGAGCACCCAAAATAATATACTGAGATTAATATTAGATACAATGCTGCTGGCAAATTACTAGGATTTCATACTTTCTAGCTCAGTCTTAATTATCAACCATAATTACTACTATATATATTTTATAAAGACTTACCTGATTGAGGACACTGGCAGCATGTGTCCTCTCATGTCAGGCTCAATGGCAGCTCCAGAGAAGAGAGGGGGAGGAAAAAGAGGAAGAGAGTGACTTCCTGCTTTTCCCTGCTTATATTCTGAGTCGGCCTGCTATGTCATTTCCTGCCTGTGTCACAAGACTTCTCTTTACTACATTTCCCAGAATCCTCCTAGACTCCTAATCACAAATATCTTGCTTCCCTATTGGCCAACAGTACTTTATTTATCAACCAATAAGATAAAAATATACACAGAAGGACCTCCCCTATCATCTCCTCTTTTCTGGCTAATAAAAAGAAAGGTTTTAACATTAACATAGTAAGATATATAACAAAATATTTATCAAGTAAGATCTATAGTCATAATATTTAGTGCATTAACATTTCATAAGATTTAAAGAAAATATTCTATCATCTATTTTATCTTTGTGAGTCTAAATCTTATATGTAAATCTTTTTTCATAATTAAGGAAAAGCATAACTATAGCTATCTGTCTCAAACTCCATTTAAGACCACAGAAGGATAATATATAAACTCTAGAACTGACAGAGACACCTTGCTTCCTGGACACTCACCTGAAGTTCCTCTGTAATGTTGGGGCATCCATCTTCAGCCCATTGGCCACAGTGTGTCTGGCAGACTTCTCCATGAAGCAGGAACCCTTCAGGACTGTCTTGTTTTGTAAGTTCAGCAGCCACTTTCCTGTGGGTCCTGAATGTTGAGTTTATCAAACAGTCCAGGCAAGAGCAGTTTCTTGCCCAAATGGCTAATCTTGCCACGTTGAGGGCAAACTCCACAATGAGTGTCTTTGATGCCCATCTTCCTGTCAAATGTAATTGGTGTGCCAGGAGCATTTGTGTCTCACTGCCATGAAAAACCATAAACCATTTAAATGCCATATATTCTGTAGATCTTTGAAAGGTTTGAAGAATATCTATCCATCTCAAATACATCTCTGTATATCTAGAAAACCTAAGTAATATAACTGTAAGTTTTTACTATTATACCTGACTGTATACAATCTGTATTTAATTATGCAATACATTTTAAAATATCTGCAAAAATATAATACCTAAACTTGAATATTTTACCTAGGTATACAATTATACATGATCATTTCAAACTGATTTCTACTCTACATGTGCTCCCAATTGTCTGCATTCCACTCTAGAATTTATGTCTTTATTTTTAGTAACATATTGTTATAATTAGTGCTGATCACATATACACAGGTGTAGGACCATCCACTGGAACATGGGTTATCTACACTTAGACAGAGAAATAAAAGTGTTCTCGGTGACTATCACTTGTTCATTGCATAGGAATGATGTTTCAGAAAACTTCTCCATTCATGCTGTAATTCTCATATTCCTGTCAGTATCACCACCTGAACAACAACAAAACAAACAAAACAGAAAAAAATGTTATTGGTTGACCGAGTTGGACTTTTATATATTCTGTATTTTCATGGTGAATAGAAATTTCTTCATGTTTTACAGGCAAAATATCATGTAAAAAGTGGATCCTGGCTTTGCAGATGTTCCTGTTCCCTGTCGCCTCTTCCTGCAGCCATGGTGAACCACAACATGTACTTCCACATCAAGGCCAATGGTGAGCCCTTAGGCTTCATCTCCTTTGAGCTATTTGTAAACTAAGTTCCAAAGACAGCAGAAAACTTTTGTGATCTGAGCAATGGAGAGAAAGGATTTGGACATAAGGGTTCCTCCTTTCACAGAATTATCCCAGGATTCATGTGCCAAGCCGGTGACTTCACACACCATAATGGCACTGGTGGCAGGTCCATGTACAGAGAGAAATTTGAGGATGAGAACTTCATCATGAAGCATACAGGGCCTGGCATCTTATCTATGGAAATACTTGGTCAATCACATGAGTTTCCCAGTTGTTTAATTAATTAATGTGTTTATTTATTTATTATCTGCACCTCCAAGACTGAGTGGTTGGATGGAAAACATGTGATCATTTGGAAGTTGAAAAAGGCATGAACATTGTGGAAGTCATGGAGAATTTCAGGTCTAGGAATAGCAAGACCAGCAAGAAGATCACATTTTCCAACTGTGGGCAACTCTATTTCTTTTGAATTTCAGGCTTCTCATCTACCATACCATTCCTTCTGTAGCTCAGGAGAGCATCCTTACTCCGTCTTTTCGAAATGCCCTGTAATCTCTGCTGTTACTGAAATTCTTTGGTTTCCATATTTTCCTCATTCCTCTCTAATCTAGCTGGATTGCAGAGTTAAGTTTATGATTATGAATAAACAGCAAGCAAGAAAAAAGTCGATCCTAAGAATGCATGTTTCATAGATGTGTATGTGTACATTGGGGTTGGTCTCTACATCTCTGAATTTTGATTTGTTGTGTGTGTAGTGGTTTTTTTTTTTTTTTTTTTTTTTTTTTTTTTTTTTTTTTTTATCCAGTAGCTCCTTATGTTGAGAAGAGATTGGTTGACATGGGTGATTACACTTATTTTACCTTTGTGTGAGTAAAAATACAAATACTTAAATATTGACTCGATATTATGCTGGTTTATTCAAGTTGAAGTTTTATGTCTCTTCCAAGATCTATGACTTTACCAACTGTTAGTAGTCAAGTTTCCAGTACAAGGCATGGTTTCTCTTTTGTTGAATTGGTTCTTAAGTAAATGTGACACTTGTTTATCAACAAGGTCTGTGTGCCACTATTGTACACTTGGGGATTTTGTGCTGCCATGCTGGTTATTGTTGTGCCTCACAGGTATCATATCTGGGTAGTACTATGGTTGCTTCCCTCCTTTGATGCTTGTATGCTGCCTTCTGATCTAAGGAAATAGTCCTCAGGAAGGAAGCATTGAGGTCAGTGACAGTTCCAACTTCTTCGGACTCAGTGTTTAAAGTACATGCTATCTTCAACAAAATAGATTTACTGTATAACTCAAGGGAAAATCCAAGGAAAATGCATTGTTTTGGGAGTCTCCCAAACAGCTCTAATAAACAACTTAATAGAAAGCTTCTCAAGCATGGGGTTATGATTTTGTTAAATATATTTTAGGGTCTAGAAGGAACATCATCCATGTAGATGAGAACATTTCAATTAATAGTTAAATATATAACTAACTTTTATATGCAGATTTACATGTATTATAATTTGGGGATTATTATAGTCATACCACAAGGAGTCAGTGGTATGACTCCTTGTAAATTTTTCAGACATCCTTACATTTATATTTCCCTCATCTCAGTTTCTTTTGTATTTGTCTTCACCACTTTTCTAATTTACCCATTTTAGCCAAACCACAAAACTTTAGTTTGGCAAGATTCCCATTCTCATAAAACATTTTGGAGACAGATTGGCAAAGATAATTGATATTGACATCTCATCCTTGCATACATAACTACAGGTGCATTTCCTCGAACACTCATGAGGGACACCATACAAATTCATACATAATAATGAAAAACCTTGTGTTTATGATATAATATCATTTCACTGTTATAATCATTGTTAAAAGTTCCACTTTATATAGCGTATTTATGCTGAATGATGTTAGAAAATAGCAAACAAATCTTTGGTGGTATTTTGAAGGAATGTTTAGAAGAACTTATTTTCATCACTTCATTTCTGATCTGTTAGTACAAACATGACACTGCAACAGACAAATTTGGGAAAACACATTGCCTACATAAAGTGTAAAGTGCTCTACATTTATCAAATCCCATTTTTTATACTTTAGTATCTCAAGAGAAAAGTGGAATTTGTAATAGTATTAGTAAAATTGGGCTTTTAATATATTTTGCATATCTTGAGATTTTCAGTATTATGACATTTGTTTGCTTACTCAATATTTTAAATTATACCCTTTGTCTCAAAGCCCCCGGAAAGATTGGATAAAACCTTTCATTAAATATTTAAATAAGGAAAAGAAACAATCAAACTGCAACATAATAACCAAATAAAACAGCTCCCAGCATGAATCCACAGATCTCATTTATTGAAACAGGCTCCTTATTTAGAAGAAAGACTTGTATGTGTTTCCTTAGTTTTATGTATTATTAATGCTTAAATTGAGTACAATAAAATATGAATTTTGTAGAAGGGACTATATCTTTAATAATTAAAGTAGTTGATCAGTTTGTCATTCTTTGGGTTACATTTTATGCAATTTGTTAAATAATTTAAAGATAATAGCAGCAAAAGATGATTTATGGTTGGATAATACACACAATTTATTCTTATATGATGAATGCTTTTAAGAGGAACAGAACTTTTCAAGTAATTTAATACATATACAAGGACTCTATCTTACTCAATGGTTCCTTTACATAAAATGTACTATTAATATGAGTGAAACATAATCAGGACTATAAATAATTCTGATCAAATGGCATTCAGACTAACAAGGTAGATGACTTTATCAGTTGTACAATAATTTACTGGCAAACCCAATCAAAAAATATATCAGAAAATCATCCACCATGATCAAGTAGGCTTCGTGCCTGGGATGCTGGATTGGTTGGTTCAACATTTGAAAATCTATCAATGTAATCCACCATATAAACCAACTGAAGAAGAAAAAAAAAACATGATCATCTCACAAGATGCTGAAAAAGCCTTTGACAAAATCCAACACCCTTTGATTATAAAGATCCTGGAGAGATTAGGGATAACAGAAACATATGTGAATATAATAAAAATAATATATAGTAAACCAACAGTCAACATCAAAACAAATGGAGAGAAACTCAAAGCTATTCCTCTAAAATCAGGAACAAGACAAGGCTGTCCACTATCTCCATATCTATTCAATATAGTTCTTGAATTTCTATCTAGTGCAATAAGAAAACAAAAGATCAAAGGGATACAAATTGGAAAGGAAGAAATCAAATTTTTACTGTTTGCAGATGATATGATAGTCTACATAAGTGACATGAAAAATTCTACCAGGGAACTCCTACAGCAGACAAACACCTACAGCAAATTAGCAGGATACAAAATTAACTCAAAAGAATCAGTAGTCCTACTATATATGGATAATAAATACGCTG